ATTTTGTTTACAAACTCCTTGATCAATCACTGCTTGATTTTAAATTTAAACATGCTTGATATATATTTCATAACTAAATTTTAACAAAAGTAAGACAGAGAATATTTGAAAATAATTACCACTTTATTTTATTGTATCTGATCAAATGGATACACAGGATTTTCTTTAACAATACAGCATTGATGTTTATTTACAGTAATTCTATATAAATTTTACGCAAGGAGAAATGCCCATCAGGGTACCTATATATACCTGATTCAGTGATAGGGGTGTGTTAATTGGGATTTCAAACCAAAGATCAAGGTAAGATTTGTATGAAAATATTTACCTTTATCAAAACACACAGAAAACTCATCGTTGAAAGGTACCAATATTACACATTATATATTGAGGTGTTTTGCTTTGCTTAGATGGAGGATATGAGATAACGAACAGTATTAAATATCAAAGTTCATGAAAGAATACAAATTAGGAGCAGAGCAAACACGGACCTCCAAAACATTAGAAGTGGAATCAGGTGCCATGGAGGAGTAAGCTGGTCTTCATAATTTTGTTCTGAGTTTGAATTTTTCATTACTTAAAAAATACTTTTTAACAAAATAATATTATCTTTTACAAAATGGGTATTAAAAAATACTGAACAGTCTGTGGTCATATTGAAAATAGAATCTGTCCCATCGTAGTTCATTCGCCATGTTCTGTTTTCAACCCTACTTAATTTAGCGATAAATGACATATTGGCTCTCAAACTAGGCTTGGTCAAGATTTCTTTCATACAGTTCTTATGTAGGGATCAGTAAAAAGTTAAAGGAGGGCACAACTATTATGTAATATTCCAAAATTAATCACTTCTTCAAAAGAAGATTCATTATTTTTGTTTTGTTTTCCGGTAATGTGAAACTGTAGATGTACGAGGGGTGATCAAAAAGTTCGCAAACTATCTCTATATCTACAAAACCACAATTCAAATTAGAATGAAATTCGGTACACACATAGCCATACACAAGGTCTATAAATAGCATATGCTGAATAAAGTTTCTCTCCTTGTTTGTGACGTCACAATGTGAAAATGACGTCACTATTTAGGTCACTTGTGACGAAAAATGGTTGTCTCAGTCGAACTCGTTCACCAAACGACTGTACAATTTATTGTAATATCTTAGAAATCCCTCTACAGTATCATATAATAATTTGTACACAGTTTATTGAGATAAATGAGTTCTTATGAATTCAATTATTGATTGGATTAATCGTTTTAGTGAAGGAAGGCTGATGGTTAAAAATGATACTTGTCGTCTTGCCCAGTGAAAGCAAGTTTGAAAAGATATGTATTTTTAATTAAGCAATTTGCTAACAAAGACCTCCAATTAGCACCTTGAAAAATAGTTGAATATTTGAACAATGATATAAGTATTAAATACCTAAGATATCGTTTACTTTAGATTTTAAACATATTAGATATGATAAAAAGGATGCACCCATTCTCTATCCACCTTGAAGAAAGGTCTCTCCTGAGACAGAAGATTTGTGTTTTAATGGTCGCCATGCTTATTTTTGGAAAGGATGTTATTATTCACCCATTCTGTTGCCGAGATATGACCATTTCTGACAAATTAACTGTTCTTGTCATAAAAATTCACTCACATGGAAAGAAATATACAACTCGGAAAAATCTTTTAAGTTTTGTGACAGAACGCTACGGAGGGGGTCACGTGACCGCCAATATCACGTGATTCGCGCATGCGCAGAACGGTAGTTGATGTGCATTAAAATCGGGGAGGATTAATTTAAAATATAATCATTATTAAAACCAAATATTGTTTCTTGTATGGAAGTTATTCAATTAGTTTGCAAACTTTTTGATCAACCCTCGTAGTTTTGAATCGATCTTGAAATTTCACTAGGATGGATCTGCTTCAATGTGCGCTTGAGTGCATTGGCTATTAACAATTATCAATTCAAATTTCCGTGGTAGAAGTAAGTAATGTCAGACAGGTTTCTATTCAATCTGACTAAAATTAATTTAAAGATTATAAAACTTCTAACTTTTCTTTATAGTTTATTTACCATCATTGAAATAAGATATAAGAACAAATGTGTGACAGATTATACAAATGATATTTTATAAAAACGTTCATTCATCTATGGAACCCCCCCCCCCACCATGGAGTTCAAGGTTTGGATAAGAAACAATATATTTTTATACCCAATATTACCCCGGGATATACATGATGGAAATCAGTTTAAATTTACCTATACTGAAATGAGTTTGAACAGAAGAGATTATATAGTACATGTATATCAAAATAATAAATGAACTTTTTACACTATAGCTAGGGCTTTCACCTTTATTACATCATCTAACCTGAGGTGATTTTGATTTAAATATAAAGATAAAGCATCCATTCCAAAGTCTATGTACATTTGTTTCCTAATAGTAACGACATAATTTTTATTTTCCAGAATACAAGTAACAGATTGAGAAGCAAGTAACTATAGAAATTTTGTGATATATATGCTTATTTTTACATACATTTCTCGATGTAAATATGTAATTGCAGCATCGTATAATAATGAATGACAATGTTTACTACATTTGTTTATTTATGACTTATTTTTATAACTATAGCTAGTAACAAATGTCGACGTAGCAAGAACTAGGTTTTACAGTCAAGGGGTATCCCCAGAAAACTTAACACGTTAGATTTTGTATAATATTACTTTCATTTAAAATACCCACTTTCTGCTCTACCTTCTTCTATAAACTCTGAACTTTAAATTTTCATCCCTTACTTTTAAAAAGGGGATCGTCTCGTTCTAAAATGTGTAAACAAAAGTTGAATACTCCATTTTACCACAATTAAACTTTAAGCACTGCAAGTCGCTAGGTAAAAAGGAAGCTAAAACGATTGTGTAATAACTAAGTATGAAAAATAGGTAAGATAAGTATTTTCCAATCAGAATGTAAATTCGATCAATTTACTAAGTTAAAATGAGATGAAATGTTTATAATATTAACTAAATAAATAGTAAATAAATGACAATAAATACATCATTCCATTGCATTGTTTATTTGTATGTTGTTAAACGTCCCATTTGAGAAATCCTGGAAGCTTACATGTATGCCAGTTATGGCCTTCAAGTTTAGGCGGCACTTAGAGCAAGCTTGGGGTCAATTACTTTGAAATGTAATTTCAAATACATTGATAATTTTGTCAATTACTTGCAATTACAATTACATTGATTTTTTCAAATGTAATTAATTACTTTCAATCACTTTGACAAATGTAATTAAATACATTTCAATTATTTCGAGTTTTATTTTTATAAAAAAAATGAAATGTTTTTTTTTAAATAAGACTTTTTCTATAGCGATCGAATTCGAACTTTCATTCAGTGTTTTTGTTCTTGGGTATGATAGCGGTTCACATCTGGTCAAAATTAGACCTTTTCCTTATAATGAGTGTGACACACTGTATAAACAAATTAAACATTATGAGACAATTAATTATTGTACAAACACAAGCCCATGTTACACCAGTATGGTGTATGGCAAGATCTTTTTTGTTACTTTCTCAAATCCATATTTTTGAAGGAAATAAATAATATCTATCACAATTCCATTCATTATTTTCTATCTTAAAATGAATAGAATACAGGTAAATCTAAAAGGGGATGTAGTTAGTCTAATTGCTGTAAAACAAATTAACTATCTAAACAATCATTGTTATTTGCAAGTGGGAATAGGGAGAACTGAGATTTATAAAACATGGGAATAGGTAATATAAACACACCAGTATAAAACTATGTATCAGTATAAGACACCTTTTTAAATATAAACTTTCATTTTGAAAAAAAGTAATTGAAATGTAATTGAAAAGTAATTGAAAATACATGACCTTTTTGAAATGTATTTAAATACATTCAATTACTTGTAATTGAAGGCTCGCTCAAATACAAATTACTTCCAATTACTTTGAAAAATGTAATTAATTACACTCAATTACAATACTTTATTCAATTACCCCATCCCTGACTTAGAGCCACCGAGCAGTGAAGGTTCTCTCTCTATCGCCCAAATCCTAACCTGACCTGGGACCTCGGTTTTTAAGGTCTCATCCAAAAGTGTACTTTTAACATGTTTAATGCAGAACACTTAGCAAAGGAAAATTCACAAGTTTCAACATTGTATTCTTATTTTTTATTTTACTTGTTGTCAATCGTATATCAGCACTGGGTCACTGCTGACCAAATGGATATTGCGAGGGGAAAGTAAAAAAAAGTTATTGCTTTCTTTTTTACAACAATTTAATAGGTTTTTATGATGAAACAATTAAGATTTTGGTAAAAGTATGTATAAAGTTCTATCGTGTATCTTCTGCGCCAGGACACATTTTTTATCGATATTATAGAGAAAGAGTGCTGTAGTTCCCCAGTTCATTTCACGAAGACATTTACAATTGTAAATACAATGTATTTCATAATAAAGATAATCATTCAGTTATTAAAACATAGTTTTTTTATTGCATAATATTAACCAAAAAAACCAATCTTTTTTTGTTAATATAGATTTAGAGTTTTTTTTATTATTTTTATTTCATAAATAACGAACCTATGAAAAAAATCAAGCTGTTTATAGAAATTATAAACCTTCCTTCTTTTGAAAATAATGACTCCCTCAAGTTTAAAAACGTTTTGTTTACAGAACAAGACATTACATAAATTAAACATTCAGCTAACAAAAGAAGCTAAAGCTCTAAAAATATTTTTAATTTTAGGTATTTTGTCAGTTCTTGTATGTTCTTTTAATACAATTGAAAAATGAGAGAAAACGAATATCGATTTAAAAAAAATAATAATTTTGACCATAAGTTTGAAAAGTATGGGTCCAGTCTGAATTGAGTCAGACAGAATTAAATTGTATAACATAACAATGTTTGCAAAATTGTACAAAAGAAATTGTAAGTTCAATTTCTTTTACTTTTTTTAATTTCTTAAAGATATGCACTCATGGTGGACTACTTTAACAAGAAGTCACGTGTTGCATGAAGCATGGCGCTTGGATACCTATTCTGGTTAGGTGCTTTCATCATCAGATTAACAAATAGTGATAAATGAGATGGCATTTTAAGAAAACATATAATATTCTGTATATGATAGTTTCATATATATAGTGGTAAAAATTCACTTTATTTCATTACTTTTAGGACTTATTTGTGCCATGGTTGCTGCTGCAGCTTTATCTGTTATATTCGAGTTATTAGGCGTCATTATGTTAAGGATTTTGAACATTTGTTGGCCCGGAGAAAAAACTCTCCAGTAAGCAGGTTTCTTTTTTAATACATGTCAATTTATATTGTTCATTTTCATCTGAATTGGTGTATTTATAATCAATGAAAACAGTAAAAATAGTATCCTTTCAGCTAATACGATAAATAAAATTATTATGAATATGTAATTTGCTGAAGATATATTTACATTTTATAACAAAGCAAAAAAGTTCTAGCTTGCACGCCATTCATTTGAAGCTCTTATGATTCAAAGGCTAAAGTAGGCTTTTCTGATCGAAGACTGTCGTCTGAAGACTGTTAAAAAACAACTTTTTCGACTTTTTCTCAAAAACACTGAACCAATTTCAAACAAACTTATCACAAATCAAGGGGATTCAGGTTAATCGTTTAAATGAAGAACCATGCCCCTTTCGAGGGAGATAAATAAGAAAAGTGAAAATTTTAATTACTCCATTTAATTTCTTCTCAAGAACCACAGAGACAGAAAATAAAACTCGTTTGAAAACTTTCTTCATAATATATACATGTATTCAAGTTTGTTCAAATTATGACAAAAGGAATAAAATTTCAAATATTCTTCTCAAGAACAGCAGCAAAACCATTATAAATCATATAATTATGGAAATACTCTCAATTATTGTAGCCTTAATTTTGTTTAATTTATAACCCCCGGGTGTAGGTTGAGAAGACTTCTTCAAAAGTGAACATATTTCTATTTTTCTCTGGACAAATGCTCAGGTATGCGACGTGGCCCATTGTCCTCTTGTCATGTCAGTTATTTTCTATAAATGTTCAATGAATTTAATTTACATATATTTCCTTTTGTAGAATTTCTAAGTGTAACCCAACCTCTCTAAAAATTAGACTAATAACGTCCATCTTTCACATTTGTGGAGTCATTATAGGCTACATCCTGATGCTCTGTGTCATGACGATGAATGTTTGGATACTTTTATCAATTTTACTGGGGACGTTCGCAGGCCATCATTTTAAGCAATCAACTAGAAGAACACAAGCAGAGGTAAACCACCTTAAAGAAAGCGATAATCACATTGGAATACGATCAAATAAAGAAACAAGAGGTGAACAATGTGAACTATTTCTTGACGCGGAGGAAGAACGGACCGAATCACATTCAGAAACAGAGCCTCTCAAAAAGAATGGTTTTGAAACTTGAATAATAAAATTTCCGAAAAATTTTTGGAAAGTTCTAGTGCCGTTCAAAGTACAAGCGGATGGAATTTACTCCCATTTTTGAAATTCCATAGCTGGATCACTTGATGTAGCATATAGTGTTTACACAAGCGTTCGAAAGAAGAAAAATCCTACAACGTTTAACATCTATGTTATATCTTGTGTATGAAGCATTGTAATAATTTGTATTTGAATTTTAGATAGTACAACATAGATGGAATATAATGTACCGTATTTCTTGTGGAAACCGATGACTGTTTATCAAAAATAGTGATATCTAGTTTTTAAAAAATCTGTATGAAAGATTGTTAATAAATTGTAAACTAAATCATGAGACATTTATCAGTTTGAACCCTTTTTCAACATTTAAAGTACATTTACCATCTTTTTACAAATAGTTTACACCAATAAAAGTAGTAAAATATGTATATCTTTTTAAAATTAATTTATACAGGGACGAGCAGTTGCAATTATGACAGAAAAAAATTACACAACCCGCGTACACGAGTTTGTATTTTTATGCAATGTTGCAACTGCTTCAATATGGATTTCAGAGTGGTTTTCATGTATAATAGTTTTAATTAGCAATCTTAAATCAGAACTATTTTGTTTGAATTCATTGTCCGAAAATATTCATGGTTTTCAATTTCATCTCTTTCTCGAATAATGCAGTGACCTTTCTTGAAACTCCTCTAGAATTACTAATCAACTATCAAAGTAAACAAGGGGTAGCCTACGAAAATAAAGAAAAATAAGAACGTAAGTTATGTATGAAAGATGTTTTTAAAAAATCGTTAACCAAAACCACGTTCTTGTAAAAAAAAAATTATATTACACATCGCAAAATGCACAAAAGAAAATAAGACTTAAAATATTTCAATCCTCTCTTTAGAATAAATTACAGTGGATAGAGGCACTTAACTTATGTGCGAGAGGACTATCTAAGATTTTGGAACTTGTGTCCAATCACATTGACTTGTTGTCAATAAAATATATTCAAAACAACTTATGTGAAGTAATACATTGTAAATAACAATGTTCGTATGTTGAAATATATAGAGATTACGAACTGTATTCAAGCTCTAAAGTCCATTAAACAACACAAATCAGCAGCATCAGAGGTGGAATTAGGTGCCATGGAGGATTGAACATACACTGCCGACAGGTCACACCCGCCGTGTACTTCTGTCATGATTGGGATCCCATCTCTGATGCTTAGAGTTCTCTGTTTGCACGGCTCCGGATTTGTATTGTTAAATGGACGTTTGAGTTAGAATTCTGTTCGTTATCTCCATATATTTCATTGCACTTGCTGACAACGCCATGTATCGACAATCGAACTAACGAAATGATGAATTTAAACGAGACTGCTGATAGTCTTGTTTCATCAACTTATTTGTCAATAACTTTCCACGTTTTAAAAATACTTTTAACGTAGAGCTTGCTCTTGTGTATCTAATTTACTGAGAGATATAAAACCCGTATATAGGTGATAAGGGTTTATTGCTGTATAAGTAAGGGAAATTTACGATTAAAAGTTAAACGTCATCACGTTTATCATAAAGCAGTACATTTACGTTTTTTAAAGTAAAGTATCCAAATATGAAACCGATGTTTCAGACTCTGTAGTATCTTTCATGCAAGCTCGCCAGAATATATCGTATCGATATAATAATGGAAATAATAATTTTAACTTGACGATACGTCGTCGATATAGACATGTATCTAAAAGTCTAGCTGAAGGCAACAGCAAGTGTTTACTTCTTTTCACATATAAAAAACCCAAATCAAAATACTTACTAGAACTTTCTTTTATATTTCTCTAAAAATCAGATATTAATAAAATTTCATTTTCTTCGAATTGAAGAAAGAAAACAGATAAGCATAACAACCTGCAATCAAATAAAAGTTGTTTTTTTTCCAAACCTTTTTTTAGCGTTTTAATGTTTAAATAACACTAAGTCTTACAAAAACAAATATTTTTATCGTTACGTAGAGGTCTTTTCATATAAATGCTATTGATAAAAAGAAGGTATGGGAGCGAAATGTTTGTCAATAATGCTGCCAATGATATATTTTACTGGGTACATCATTGTAGAATATCCATGGATAAGTTACAAGGAAGTCATTAAGACATTATTTGGAAACGAAAGAATACTGTAGGAAGGTTAACATCGCAGATAGACATTATCCACGTGACCCTAACACAGAAAGGTAAGGAATTTATTTTAATAAAATATTATTTAAACAAAGTACTGGTACTTTAAATCTTTTTAAATATAAAATTTTATCGTACACTTTTTAAAAGAAAAAATATGAAAAATTGAAGCAATAAATGCGTTTTTAAAATACTTTGAATTCAAATGAACCTAAGCTTCAGTGACTTTGCTGTTTGTCTGTCTGTTCTCGTGGTTAACTTTTCGAACTTTCATCTACCTCAGTAAAATGTTGAAAAGTCTTTAAATCAAACTTTCGCAAAGAATAACTTTTTCCAATGACATGGATTCCAGCTGTTTTAACTGAAATGTCATGTTTTCCTTAGACGGACGGAAAGTAGGGAGATCACGGAAAAAATGAATAAATAAAAATAAAAAAAATACAAGGAAACCATTGTAAAACTTAACCGTATTGATATTCAAACACAAGTTTGTATACTGTATACTAGTATTATTCTCTTAGAAGATAACTTTTTGGTAGATTGTATTTTTAAAAGCAATTTCAATAGAATTGTGAACAATAATAAAATTTATTGAATAGATTTCAAATTGTCTTAAAATAGATTTTAAGAGGTTCGTTTTTCATTTGATCTACTCCTAATTTGTATTGCTTCAATGGCCTTTTGGGGTCTTGAGTACTGTTTGCTATCTCCAAATTTCATTTAATGCTTGTTTTTAAATAGAAACCATTTTAATAGAATAATAAATTTCTTTTCTATTCATAAGCTTATCTACAAAATCAGTGTTACATAACACAGGTATACTTTTAAAATATCTGCAATCGATAGTCCTGACAATTTCTATACGAGAAAAAAAGGATACACTTACTCTACCTCTTTGACATAGATTCTTCTCGAAGTAAACTGGAATGCCTCTTCTAAGTCGCCAGGAAACGTAATGAAAGAATTTTAGCTGTTTAGAATATGACAATATAAAATGAGATATACCTTGTTGTTCATCAAGTGTTTATATTTTCCCATTTACTTAGAAAAATCAATAACTGGAATTTTATTTTAAGAGGAACTTTAATTTTTTTTTTAAGAATGAATTTTTGGTGGACAACCTACACAAGAGCTCACATGCTGCACAAGGCATGGAGACTAGATACGTATACTGGTTTGTATACACTACCTACATTGTCTGTTGAATTTTATCATAAATAACGACTAATTTTCATTTTAAAAAAATTCTTTTGAATAGTACAGAATTTAAAATTTGTGTACTGATGATCACCTAACATAAATATCAATTTCTTTGTAGGATTAATATTTGCTATGGTCCTTGCAGCAGTTTTATCTTTCGTATTTGAATTCATGGACATTATAAAGCTAAAATTTCTTAAAACATGCTGGCCTGATCGAAGATTTCTTCGGTGAGTTTTTTGAAAACCTTGTAATATCAAGTCATGTTTACTTCTCTATGGCACTTGATCCCACCTTTGATGTTTTAGAAATCCGCTTAGCTCTGCTCTGGATTTGTTTAGTTTGAACGGAGTTTTGAGTTTGAATGCAGTTATTTCTGTGATTTCTCGATTTGTCTTAAGGTTTTATTCTGTTTGATTTGCTGAAAATTTGATTTTTTTTAATTTTCCGATACGTTATTGACTGAATTTATGTTTATCATAATAATCTTCATAATTCAAGTGTGCCAAAATAGTTATTTATTTATTTAACTTTTTTTGGTTACTATTTTTTTGGCCTAAAAATCAATATATAAACTTCATATTTACAGAGCCTCAAATTGCAGTCTCTTCTCCGTAAACATCAGATTGACAACAACCATTTTCTACACCCTTCAATTGATCATGACCTACATTCTAATGCTGAGTGTTATGACAATGAATGTTTGGATATTGCTGACAGTTCTTCTGGGAACAGCTGCAGGATATTTCTTCAAACGAATATCCAGAAAAAGTCCACCTAATACTGAAATCCAAGTAGGAGTTAACTACCCTGGGATTCAAATAACTAGGGACACAATTGTGAGAAACAAACACTGCCAGGCTTTGCTGGAGAAAGAGGAAGGAAAGATATTGCAATCAGAGACAGATCCGATGATGGTTACAGACGAAGGCTGTGTTACACAGCTGACATTTCATTAGAACCTTAAAATTGCCTTGGGTGGCTTTTTGAAATTTTAAGTGTGTTCTCTGCCTGTTGATGAAATTTTGAATAAGAGTTTGGTTTAGAGTTTTGGTGTTTGGTTTCCATTTTTGGATTTAATCAGAATAATACAGTCTCTTTATTGCAAAATTTTAATCTTGGTCATTATTTTCAACGTAAGGTGCTATTGCTGTCATATTTCACAATCGAAATATTCAAACGTAATTAAACTTTAATTAAAAACAAAGTGCAATGTTTTATTTGAAATAATATTTTAAAATGTTTCAAAAGAAAGTGACCCTTTAGTCCCTTGAGTCTTTGTTGTCTGCTTTTAAGTTTGAAGGACTTAGTTAGCTTTATTGAAGATGATTAGTTTTGATAATAGAAAATCGCATAGATACTTCAAAATTATTTTTTGAAATGACAGATGTTAGGAAACTTGAAAAGCATGATTACCGATTAAATTCTGGTATTTACCTCATATTTAATTTGCAATTATGCAATTCAAATCAGATTAACTTTCAAAAATCAAAGAAATATCTTTGACCGGGCACGTAGCAACAGGGGGGGGGGGGGGGGGGGGTTTGGGACTTAGTTCCACTTTTTTCCCCAACATTACTCTTACTATTGGAAAACTTTAGTGAAAGGCTGGTTCCCCCACTTTATACTACAGGAATGCAGTGTTGAATACAAAAAAAAATCTGCACTGAAAGAAGTTGGCATTGAAAAAAGTTCTTACCCCACCCCCAACACACACACACACACGCGCGCAATAGGATTTTCGAGTTTGGGCAATTTTCCTTTTTTTGCTTGTCAACTTTTTCAAGTAAGTAAAAAAATTCTCTCTGGAGATCCCCCCCCCCACTCTGTCAAAAACGATGCTACATGGCCGTTGACATCCATGTCTTGATTTACCGTTAAATTTCACATTGATGGGTCACTAATAAATCATTCAATTATGTTGCTTAATAAAAGGTACATGTAAATGTCATTTCTTTTAAACTTTGTTGTTATCCTATGTTATCCTAGAATCAGAGACGTATACCAACACTCCTATCTTACATAGATAAGAGAAAAATATAATGGCATATCATGTTAATTTGTTCTTGCTGGCATTACATTCACGTGTTTAAAAGAAATAAACATTAACACGTGTCTACGTTTTTGTGTCATCTAGTTTGTTTCATTGAGTTATCAATGATTTAATAGAACATGTGTTGCTATTTGAATGATGTAAATGTACATGTAACTATACAAGTTGGTACGAGATAAAATCTACTATTACGCACATATAGATTTGATCATGTGACCAATTTCATTTCATATCTTTAATAAAACTTAAAAATGATATTTTATTTCTTAAATGAATCAATACATTAAATTTATAAAACAAAGAAACCCACCTAAATGATGTCATTTCAAGTGCACACGTTTGTTTTCCTGTGAAGGATGTCGTCGTGAATAGAGCATTGTCAAATTTTAGATAGAAAACAAAACACAATGAAATAACCAATTGTTTAAATGGTGAAGTTTTCACGGCAGGATTATCAAGTATGGCATTTTGAACTATATAATATAACAAGGGGGAAAAAGTAAGTAAACTGTGTTAAAATTACAAATATAACATATTTTTTGTTCAAGAAAATATACTTTCGAGAAAAATATGTAACAAAAATCAAAAATATTTTTACACACTGTATTATTCAATAGATAAATGATAAGAATATAATAATAAAAAAAAAATTCAGGTATCTAAATCAAGGCTTGGGACAAGTCGTAAAATAATTATGTTAGCTTAAAAATGAAAATTTCTCAGTGTAATGTAGTTAATTGTTCAGTTGTTTAACCGGATGGGAAATGTATGCACATCAACTTTTTTGTACCTTTTCGCACAATATGTTATTTTTGTTTAATACATTTTATCTAAGTTACTATACCTTGTACCGAATTATTTGAATCGAAAATAATTTCATACTATATAATATTGTTGGTTAAAAATGGCTTTCCTAACTTTGGCGCGTAGAATTTTCCAGAAAATGTGAGAAAAATTTAAAATTTTGGCCTTTTTCATGGTGAAGTACATGTATACTGTACCCTGTACTCTAAATTACATATGCATGAATATCACATTGCTTTCTTTTTTTCAATCTAAATTTTAACTTAAAACGAATTCAGTAAAATATAATTTTACTTTAAGATACGATCTTGGAGGCTTTTTAGAATGGGCTTTTTTTGGAAGGATTTCGAAGACTTTGGGGTGCGGGTATTTTACTAGGGAAACATGTTCTTCATGTAAAAGCCTCTTGTGATAAACATTTATTCGGTATCAATCAATGCATTTAATTTTTTACGTCATTTTTAAGGATGCACGGCTACTGGACAACATCATCAAGATTTCATTTATTGCACCAAGCATGGCATATTGGAACCGACAATGGTAATTATTTTCTATTTTTAAGGACCATGTTTTCACAAAGGATTAATTGCTTAAATGACAATTTAACATAATTGTTGGAAAAATCTGAAAAAAATAAAACACAATTAATATCAGAATTTATATATAATTTTTCAGAAAGTGCATTACAAGTAGATGTTCACGTTCTTTTCACTTTCTTTGATGTGTTGTATTGTTGTTTACATTATTCATTAATTTTTTTTTTAATTATAACCTATAAGTTTTTTTCAAAGATTCTGGAAAATATTATTTAGTTTCTTTCTTACTATTTTTAGGTTTAGCAGTAGCCATGATTATGAGTGCACTTCTCTCTATTGTATACGAGTTCCTTGACCTAATTTATTACAGAATTGTAACAAAGTTGAGACAAACTGAAAAGGATTTTCAGCAGTAGGTTTCTATTGAATGTTTTGATTTTAAATCAATTTTTGAGTAGCATTATACGAACATAAAGGACACAATTCTTGTATGTTATTTGTATTTAATTAAATCTTATTGGGTAATCGACTCACTCAGGTGACCCAGATATGTTTCTTCTGTCATCGTGCGTCGTGTGACAACATTTATCATTTTCAATTCTTTTGTGGAGTCGTTGATTGATTGTATGTTGTTTTAACGTCCCTCTTGAGAATTTTTCACTCTTGGAGACGCCAACGCTTGCCGGTGGAGAGCTACAATTTTTTTCCTATAATTTCGGCACTCAGGGCCATTGAGCAGTGAGGTATCTTTTTCGTGACAGCACCTACTGTGACATGGGACCTCGGTTTATACGGTCTCATCCGTAGGAACGGTCTCCACGTCACACAGTGGGATTCGAACGCGAGACGTAAGTATTAATTTTTTACTTCGCGACTCTAGAGCAGAAGCTCTAACCACTGTGCCACGCGGGCGAATCATTAAATGAAAAGAATGAGGATAACGAGTAATGATCGATCCCAAAAATCTTTAAACAATACAAATCTGGGAAGAGTGCATAAAACACAGGACACTGGAAATTTCAGGTTTGAGATCAGGTGCCTAGGAGGGGTAAACATTCCCTGTCGATCGGTCACCCCATTAATTGACCAAGTAGGCGGACCATTCAGTATAAAAAAAAAACAAAGGCCTTACAATCGATTTCACAAAAAAAAAAAACAAAAAAAAAACCAAAAAAACCAACGATCGAATGATGATTTCCTAACAAAGTCATTATAACGACAATAAATTTACGAAATGCCGATGTTAATTGGGGCTGTTGAAACCCCAGTAACATCATTTTATTTGTCAGTAGCCTGCCTCGAATTCAAAACTGTTCGAACACGGATGTTGATTTTGAGCTAATATCATAAATAAACTTTGAGATATAAAAACCACAAGTTGGTGGTATTTACTTTATAAATAAGGAAAAATCATGGAAAATTGAAAAAATATCTTTTGTCTTACAATTTTGTTTTGGCTCTTATCGTCTACAGAGTAAAATAAATGAAACATTGAAATATTTTTATTATTTTGGACCAAAAATTTACATCCATTAGTTTAGTTTGCTTCATTATACCATTATCTATAAATTGTCATTCATAGTTTCCTTTACAAGGTAATAATATAGTCTTTTGAAAGCGGGCGTAAGGTCTCTTGTTGAAATGGGAAATCAACTGGTAGGAGCAGACTTTCAATTTTATTTGATAAGAAATAGAAATTAATACCCATAATAATAAAAAAAACCTGTTTTTTCATTGAATTTATACTAGATTCATCACTTTTTTCTAATCAAACTAACATAATTGTGTAATTTTTTGGACAGATCAACAGCATGTAACCCTATTGTTCTCCCAAGACGGTGCATTGGATCGCTATTGTACGTTATTAGGGTTATCAATGGATACATCATAATGCTGTGTGTAATGACGATGAATGTATGGATAGTCCTGTCTGTTTTGGTCGGTACCATGCTCGGCTATTTCACCAAGTACTACTTCAGAGGAAAGATTTCTCCCAAACCAAGAGAGGAAACTAAAAACAAAGGGGAACAACGCGAACAGAGACCAAACTGCCACAACACGTCAAACGAAGCAGAGACATTACTTTTACAAAATACTCCATGTGGCGGATCCAAGTTGAAGAAAAAGAAGACTGATCATAAAAACTCACCAGTTTGAGCATACTCAGAAGGAAATTTCGACTTGCTTTCGTCAAGTGTTTATTATGTTTAACGTACTCACATACATGTACATATTTAAATAAATAATCTATAATGGTAACCAGAACTTCATTTATTCAGTCGAAAATATTTTACTGTAAAAATATGTTTTGTATTTTCTTATGACAACAAACGCTGAAACGGTTGAAAGAAATCTCTTAAGTTTTGCAGGGGGGAATTAATTTTGAAAATGTGATTGTTGCAAACCTACATAATTTCTGTACTGTGCAAAAACCGATTTCTTGGGAGAAAAATGCCTTTAAAAATCCCCCCTTGAAAGTGCATAATGCACTCTTATGTTTGTAACTATGTTGTATCGTTAACTAATCTGTATATTATAGTACTTTGTAAATGTATTATCTTCATTTCATAAAATTATTGAGGTATATAACGGTTTTGGATGGAGCTTCTAGAATGCTGAGAATTTTTGACTGGCAATTTTCAAATGAAAATGCTAAAACTGGCGCAAAACAAGTTTTAAAACATGGATGAACTGAACAAGCGACATGCCTATTTTTCAGAAATCCGCAAACAAACGAAAATACAGAAACTTCTAGTTTTGACAAATTATTTTATTCATTAACGACGTTCGATCCTGATATTTAAAGTCTTAAACTTTTTTTGCCAAGTATATTTTTAGTTTCTACATACATAGCTTAATTAAAATTCCAATCAAAAAATGGGGGTCAATACGCTTCTTTTGGCGCTACAGTACATTTAATATGACCTTTTTGCACTGAAATTTGTGTGTTAATTAAAAATTGTATTTTTGACGTTTTCCCTCCAATATTTTTATCCAATTAAAGCATGAAACAAAATGAAATCTAAGTTTGTTTAAAAAAAGACACTTAAAAATTGTGACGGAGAAAAAGTTTTAAGAGCCATTCTCTGTAATGACTTGAAATTTTATATAGGAGCTGTGGCACGCATAGTCTCAGAATTTCTCCAAACTCTCTCTGATAAAAGTCATAAACTGTAATCAGGCAAAAATTGGTTGCTATGTTTTATAGTTACCATGGCAACGTGTCTTAAAGTTCGAAAAATGGCATTTTTTAACATGTTTAGAGCCCCATAGTTAACATTTGCGGCAAAGCAAACAATTGGCAATGACTGTTTCCAAAAGTTGAAGGTCACAAGTCTCAAATGCATGATAAACATGTTTGGTAAATCAACTATTACATACGTTACTATGGTAACAAAGTATTCAAAAGTAAAAAAAAATATTCATTGAATTTTATAAAGTCATACACGTAAAAATAAAAAGCAATTATAGGATGAAATGTGACCAAATAATAGAAAAAAGAGCCTTGAAACATATACCAAGAACAAAATATGATATTTCATTTTGGTTGGAAATGGTTGCCAAGGTTTTTATACCACAGAGAGCCTTCAAAGTAACACTGTATTTTTAAATCTGATCCTATCTTTTTAAAAAAGCACATTTCTTCATAATTAATCATCAATTTTTAAAGATGTTGATGTGTTCCAAGTTTTCCCATTTGAAAAAATTCAGATTAGATTCTTTAAATAGAGCGTTGCTATGGAAATAAGCAGAAAATATATGCTTAAAAACCTGAAAAATATTTTCTTTCCTTGGATACGTACCCTTAAATGTAGATTCCCAAAACTTTTACGATTGATATTTATTAACAGCTAACCTGACTTTTAATTTTGACTATCATCCAATCTTGGATTTGGCACACAGGGTTTAATATTGATATAAAGTTCACAAAATCGAATATTTTCCCTTCTTGGTAACCATAGCAACAGTGTTGTTTTCTTCATAAAATTTTGTCAATATATGATATTCAACTTCAGTTCTAACAGATAAGTATTATTCAAATTTGTTTCTTGATTATATGGCAATTTAATTCTTAATGCAGCGAAAAATAATTCACTTTTAAGCACTGGTACTTTGTTTCCATGGTAACACTGCAAAGTAGCAATTATACCCAATTTTTCTTATGGTTTTGGTGTTGCAGGGTCCTAAGGATGCATATTTGCCAGTCTTGAATTTTCAAGTTTTTCCTCAAGACAGTAGCATTAACCCAATTTTAGTTACTGGTTTTGCATGGTTACACTGTGTTATGGCAACCATTTATTTATAGAAAAATATTGCTTATACTTATATACTTAAGGTCAAACATTTTCATTGTTTTTCTTAAGTGTTTGAGTTTGAGCATGTAACAAATTAGTGAATACGGAGTATTTTTCAGCATATTTCAGCAATTTAAATGTATCCCAAATGTACCCTTGGTTACCACTTATTTAGAGATATATTCTAAACAGTTTCTACAGTATAAGTGACATCAAGGTGTCATGTTTTTGTGAGAATGGTTTGTTTGCTTTTTCTAATTAAGCCACAGCCAAGATTTAAAATGGCTGAAAATCTCGATTTTTCAAACTTTTCCTGCTGTTGCCATAAAAAACACTTAGCAACGAAATTTTGTTTGATATTTGTTTCTGGTGTCAAGTACTAAGCATAGGTGAAGTTTCATCAAAATCGGTGACCATGCGTGGCAACGAAGTTGAAGTGGTTACAGAGAATGGCTATTAAATTGCTTCGCGTAATTAATTATTTGACCTTTCTGCACTAATAAAAAGTGATTTTTCTGACATTGAACATTTAATAAGCAAGAAAATTATGTTAAAGTCTTAAACCTTTTTCTGATTTTCAGCAAATAGGCCAAATTTATCTTGAATATTTAGAAAAGAACATCAAAAGCGGGGGTATATGATGTAAATTTTCAGATATTACTAAAAAAAGTGCCAATTTTACGTTAAAATTGGCTAATTTTTTTCCCGGATTTTCAGAGTATATTTACTATATTTGTCACACTTTGTTGACAGAATTCATAAGAAATAATTTAATAGATATTTCAGAAACAGCATAACACATATAACTGCAAAAAACAGCTTTTTGTGCAACCAGGATGGAAAAATAGGAATCCAAAATTAACAGTACTGTTATAGTTCAAAATGGAAAACTGAATAGTGATCATTTTCGTCTAAAAAACCTTCCGCCACAAAATATAGTCCCTATCTTAATTCTATATGAATGGAATTTAATCGCTGTTTTTTCATTGAATATAGTTAAATTTACACTTTAGAATTCAGATTTAATGTTAGAACTTAAAAATGATGCAGAATTTTATAAATAAAGGACCTGACCAAAGTACGCTCAAAATCTCAGGATCGAACGTCCTTAAAACAACTTTAACAACAAGCATGTATTTACAGTCTTTCTTTTTCTTCACAATAAGGGTAAAAGATCTCATGCCTGAAAATAGATAAAATAAAAATGATTCTATGAACAAGTATAAATCTTGCGTTTGTTAGCTCTCTAAACATTGTGATTACATTTCATTTTTTCTGTTTTATATAATATTACATTGATTCATAGAAAAAAGACTGGTCTTGTAGAAAAAAAAATAAATTTCATAATAACAAAAATATGAAACTTTTCTTTATCATACATGTGTATTTTATATAAAATATCTTTTTTAAAAAAGGCAATAGAAGAAACTGCAATTCTAAGTGCTTTAAAAAATTCTTAACAAGTACAAACCGGTCCGTATTGCAATGAAAATCCTCTTCTTTGTAATGAATTATTAGAACGAAAAACAACCTTGACGGTATCATTAAATTTCAGAGCACTTGCGGGTATAGTTGTAACATCACAATATTTCTGTGAATCAATTTCCAAGAAATCATTTTCACAGTTTGGTGACAATTCCAAGTCCAAAATCGAAATGCTCAATCGAAAATTCTGTTGTTGAAATGGAGAAAAATACCATTCACAGACTACATCAGGTTGATATAAACCAAACGATGGTGGATTTTGAATTCTTCCTGGGTGATCCACTGTTACATTATGACCGCAATCTAAATATTTTATTTTAATTTCCTATTAAAGAACAAGTTACAAGAAAGACAGAAAGTAACACAAAGATTTCTCAGGGGAAAATATAGCTGTTTGCAAATTCTTATGTTTACAGTTTTATAATCAAATATTATACATGTACTTTCAATTTTTATCTACTTCTTCAGAGCTCAGTTTAAATTATCATAATGTCAAATACATACCGGTAATGACGACGCCCATTTGTAAAATATCCACGAAAAAGTCATAAAAATTGAAAAATATCAGTTTCTTTGGAAACAAAAGGGATTTTTCTTTACACTATCTCTTAATGCTGCATTATATAAACATATACATGTGTGTATATATAAAACGCTGGGGGAAAAACCTAAATGATGCCAATTAATGCAATGACACAAAATTTGATAAAAATGAAATTTGGAAGGAACAAACATATTGGGAAGACTGCCTCATTAACCAATTTTAATCATGTTGTAATTTTTGTTAAGAGATATTTTGCTGTTACATGGTATTTAAAATCAAGTGTTTAAGGAAAGGTAAGCACTGCTTTACGCTCATACCAGATCTTAGAGTGAACTTCAGGGGTCTTCCTTCTTCCTCTTCTATGAGGGTCGATAACTCTAGTTCGTACTGTCTTCCTATATTGTGACCTGTAGGAAACACGAACTGGCGTACACTCGGTCCTAACTTGAGCACTTCTTGATCATTGTTTGGTAGTACTCTGTATTTGAAGACGGAATTGTATGACGAATTCTTTGTATTCTCTGGGGAATCCCAGGCCAGTCCTATCACTCCCGCTGAATTAATCACTTGTTTAACTAGAGGTGTTGTATCTACAAATAAACAACACAAAAGATATGGAAAAAGTATTGTTTGAATGACAAAACTACACTTCCGTAAATATCGAAGATATATTTTCAATACTAGTATACAGGTATTTATTATTAGTTGCTGAAACTTTCCTCACCTATAGCTTCAATGGATATATTAAATCCGCCATGTTTATTAGCACTTCCAAAAGAGGACCTGAAAATTATCTTGGCATCTCTTTCTTTTGTGATATAATATCCACCAGGTGGGGACTTTTTGCAGTAACGGTCATCGTTTATCATGACGTAATCTTCAGTGCATGCTGACGTGTTATCTGACAAGTTTATGGAATCGAAATGTATTTTTAACCTTTGACCAACAGATGCCCTTACATTCCATTGACAGGCGACATCGGGTTCGTAATACTCATTCAAGAAGTATGGCGAATGAAGGGAACGAATGGTTCCATTTGGAGGGAGAACGATATCATACCCACATGCTAAAAAGAAAAATAAATAAATAAATAGAGAAAGATTAACCTATTGAAAATTTGCAATAAAATTTTCTTCTCTATATCTTAAAAAACTATTCAATTGTACTTCATAATTATACAAGTGAAAGTTTACCGGAAATAGCGGATATCGGGGGCGAGGTTTCTCCTCGTCCGTTTTGTGACAAAGCTGTCACTGTCATTTCATATCGGCTACCAGGGTGATTTGCTGTGTAGATATAGTGCGTTTGACGATTCGGAGCAATTGTGATTGTCGCATGTTGCTGACTATTCTTTATTGTCAATAGATAGCCCTTTAGGTACAATATTGTATACGGTACAGTTATTCGTTAATTTAAGTAACAACAATTAAATTATGGATTATCTTTGAGTAATTAACGCAAATATTATTAGGTGTTTTTAAAAATGCCATAAGATTTGTGCTAAAATAAAGATACACTTAAATTTAAAAAATATTAAAGAAACATCCCATACAGGGTCAAAAAGAAGTTTTAGCCTATCTTGTCCTTTTTTAAAAAATCAGATACCCTGTTTAAAAATTCACTTACGCTTAAAGGAACACTTGTACATGGAGGAGACCAGAACACTCTTAGTGTGTTCTCAATTAAAACAACCTGAAAATCTTGCACTTTCCCTGGTATACCACTTGGAACTACAATATCAACAATTTTAACATATCTTAATATAATGACATTATTTCTAATATGAAAACTATGCATACATTCCGTAATTGTTTAGGTAATGTACATTAGTGAAAATGAATCTGGCAGATTATATTTTACATGACATAACTTACGTTTGGATTTTTCTGCACAAGCCTTTTTAGTTGCAGATACTGTCGTTGTTGACGTAGATTTCTGTGTTGTTGGTCGTGACGTACTAGTGAATGTTGATGACGTAGCAATGGAAGATGGACGAGTCGTTATCCGAGAATGTGTCATGTGATCGGAAGTTTTTGTTTCTTTAGTAGTAGTAATAGTTGTAGGAGTAGTTTGATCTGTTTGCTTCCATACTGGCAAGGGCGGATCTCCTACAGATGATCGATGTTATAATTATAACTCAGGTATATCAAATGACCATTGAGCACTCCAGCAAAATATTGGTTTTTTGCAGATGGGTACTGTTCTTACCATTCTCACAACCATACAACTTTTTGATCTTCCAGATGTCCATTTCACTAAATCCAGAACGCTGGCCCATAGTTCCTCGAGTGTTGAACTTTGCCACTAGTGTTGGACTTCCATTTTTAGAGAAGGTTGTTGCACCATAGTGCATGATACTGCCATAGTCATAAATGGTTCCCAAAGTATCCATTATATTCTTTTGCTGTTTGGTAAAATCTCTAGTTTTACCTTTCAAGAAAAGAAATTTTACGTCAAATAATCTGTGAATTGCTTGATTCATGAACTTTGCTTTCCAAACGAATTTCAAGACGGTGGATATTCAACCCAATTTTAACTTTTTATAGCATATAATCTTCTAGTAAATACCATCCTGCACATTTTCCCAGTTGACTAGTATGTAATCGTCTCGATCATACCGACTTTGTTCGTGGAAGAACCCAGCAGCGTGGTTCATCTCATGCAAAATGACACCTTTGTAGTAGCAGGTGGAACCCAGAACGAGGTTCTGAGGACCAGTGTCTCGACCAATGGAGGAGTAGCATCTGGAAGTTAAAAGGAAAAAATGAGGTAAGTGACACACAACTGAAGTAGAAAGTCCACCTTCCAGCTTTTCTAACAAAACATATTCTATGTTCTTTTTTCTTATACAAAGCACGGGTTACTATACAAAAGAATTGTTGATTCTAGATAAAATTTTAATTTTGAAAAATTACTTTCATAGGTATTGTTATATTCTTAGAAATCAACTAAAATGCCCTTGTACTTCTGAAAACATATACAAGGGCGTCTATGTCAACTAAAAACTTGATTTCAATTTTTTAGTAATACATTTACATTTTTGATCGAGGAAATACATGTACAGTTGTACACTTAAGAATTACCCCGCTCCATCTCTGATGACGACATAGTCCTCCTCGTTTGTCCTCGGTCTCCACTTCAGACAGGACTGATCACTGTTGTACTGGTCTATTGCCGACTGTATAACACTGAGACCATAGCTACCTGGAATCAAGGACCTTTAGATGATTGGACGTATTGTTCAAAGAATTAAGCGTGTATTATATCAAGGCCATTTCACAATTCAAAATAGGGATAATTCTTTCTCTAAGTTAAGAAATATTTCTATTTTTAGAGAGATATCTTTTTAAGATAAGAGTTGAAATTAATTTAAAGAGATATCTTATTTTTCGTATAAAAAGTTAAAGTGTTACAGCAAATGTGACTGTGAAATACTGTGCATATTCCGTGAAAAATAATTTCATTTATGAATGCTTACATTATGTTAAAGCAATGTTTGAGGAAAACAATTAGGCATGGAATTTTGAATAATTGTACATGTTCCTAGACAATCTATAGAGGCTATACTTACTAATTCCATTCTTTTCGATCGTGTATGGAATAATGTTATTTTTCCATTTCCACATATTCACACGAATAGCATTCCTCTTTTCTCTCTAGCGAAGAAGAACAACTCTTTGTTGAGAGCGTGTCATTGCAGTGTCGCATATATATTCCAAACATTTTTCAAAAGTATATGAAACATAAAATATGAGGTAGTATAATTACTGCACAGGCCAATTTTTTTTTCATGTAGTAAAGAGGGAAAGTAAAAACTGATTTTATTTCTACCTATAGGCAGCAGAAAAATTGACATTACTTTTTGTAATTTGACTGAATATGGAACCTCTTTACACATCCCCAAAATCGAGAGTATAAAATATTCACCTTTTTACACACCTTGTTAGATAATAAGCCTGTTTACTTACCGACAGTTAATTAAAGTTAAGAAATTATCACAGTAGAGAATCTAACCCTGTATACATACATTCAGCAATGGTTGTCCTACAATGTCTCCCTCCAGCAGATTCTCCAACATTCCTGATTCTATGTACAAATTACAATGTAATTATAAGTGATAAAACCTGAGTTTTTATCGAAGTCTTCTAATGTATCAACTAATTGAATACAATCATACGTTCTCGGGACAATCTTTTTCTTGCTTTTCTTGTTGAAAAATAACTGCTTTAAAATAATATTTACCAACATTTTAACTGCATTTTGAAAAAAAATTCTTTAACCTTGAAAGAATGTAAAACTTTGCTTTATTAGATAATTTTGTGATGTCTGTTCAAAATCTTGTGATGTATAATCTATAACCTTGTGATGTATATTCTATAATCTTGAGAAGTATATGCAAAATCTTGTGATGTATGTTCTATAAACTTGAGATGTATTTGCAATATCTTGTTATGTGTATTCAAAATCGTAGAACAAATTTTATTTGTTTTGAAAAGAAATTACATATCTAATATTAAAAATTTGGCTTACCCCTGTTCGCTTTTACAATGATGTCCATAACGCTATAGTCCAGTGGTGAGTTGTTTTCTTTGTTGTCGTCCTGTGGAACTGAACGTTGACAAAAACGTGTGCAATATTACAAAAGTTATGTTTTGGTCTACAACAAATTAGCCATCTTAAATCAATCATGAAAAATTAAAATTTAAGTTTTTAAGGCTATAAAAAACAAAAATGTTACAGAAATATCTACAATGTAATACAATTTGTACGTGCTTCATTAAATTGTTAACAAACAATCGTGGAATTTTATTTTCTAATCTTCCTTATTTTTTTTATTTCCTCAAAAATCTACCTAGTATACTTTCATGTCTAAATTCATGATTCTTACGTACAAGGGTTGTTCAATAAATTATGTTTAAACGATTTTTACATCATGATTTCCATTCAATCTGTCTGTAACATTGTTTTAGAACACATTTTAGTATGCCATTGGTGTACTGGAATATGGCAGATCCTATGATAACTTTGGCTTGCTTCGTCCTTCTGAAAGGTGATTTTTTAAAGTTTGGATTGATTGATGGATTGTATATTGTTTAACGTCCCTCTCAAGAATTTTTCACTCATATGGAGACGTCATCACTTGCCGGTGGAGAGCTGCAAATTTTGTCCGATACTCGGCACTCAGGGCCATTGAGCAGGGTGGGATCTTTTTCGTGCCAGCAACTTCTGTGACACAGGACCTTGGTTTATATGGTCTCATCCAAATGACAGGTCTCCACGTCCCACAATAAAACAAGTCGAAGGCTGAAAGATCTGGGCGAACATTGGTTTGACAAAACATTATCTTTCTGTTGGTCCAAAATATGCTTTTACTGTTCATGACGTGCTGGTTGGAGCGTTGTCGTGAAGAAAAGCATGTTCGTGATTCTGATTCCTTCTTCACATAAACCTTTCAATTGTGCTTTCTAGACTTGTCCAGAAATTAAACAGCCTCTCCAAATAAGAATCTGAACAACAAGACCACTTCTATTGGGGTAAATGGCCATAATTCCTTGTGCTCTTGCAATTCTTTGCTATTCTCAAACCTTTGGTCAACTGCATATTGTATTTTTTTCTTTGTTGTTCAAAGCAATGGTTTCAGGTTTCATTATCAGTTATAATTTCAGACAAACGTGGATAACCGCAATTTTTTGTTAAAAAAAAAATAGCTGTGTTGATATTCTTATACACTGTAAAAAAATAACTAGTTAATGTCACGAAGAAAACTAGTAGATTCACCGTCCATACAATCACTACCTTAATAGTAGTTTTACCGGATATTGGTATATATTTACTAGATAAGATTAGTAAATTTAGAATTGATGCGTAACTTTCACTACGTATCTAAGTATCTATACGACCCCCGCTCCACAACTCACTATCTTAACCAGTAAACTGAAAGTTTACTAATCACGACCAACGCTTTACGAAACAAACTGGTTAAATTCACTAGGTTTTTCTTTCAGTGTACACGCTGTCGTATATACTAAGGGTGATCAATGAGTACTAAGCATTTTCTTTACAACAATGTGTACTACCCCCAAATTATGCCTTCCAAATTTGCTACATGTATACACTGTATGAGCCTTGAAGTCAATCAAATATCATTAGTGATAATTTGTTGAATTTTGGCAAACATTACATCGATGGCTGTAAGTCCCGTACACTGTATGTACCGGTATATATAAAACAAACACTGGTTGCTGTATATATCACATATTTTAGTGAATATTCCTTGTGGATTCTTACCAAGTTCACACAAGCTTTAATGAAATGTCTAACCACTCTTGTTTACTGATTCTTTGCCATTCATTGTTAATGCAGTGTCTCGAGTACCTCTTGTTTACCAGCTTCTCACAAAAAACTTGATGATGAAACGTGGTCACATAAATGCTTATCAGTTTATTAAATATTCAATCATGTGAGGACGCAAATGTTTTCTATGTTATGTCATAGAGTTTAAGACATAATTCATTGAGCAGCCTTCGGACATATTTTCTAAAATATTTTTAAAATATATAATACAGCTAGATTTAGTCTTTGTGATGTATTATATGACTTTTGCAACAATCAAGCCTGTGGAAAGATATTGTCAAATCATGAATAGTAATTTTCTATTAGTCCTGTAGCGAGTATCCTACAGAGAATATCCTTAATGCCTAGGTCACATTTAAGCCGATGGTCGGGCGATTAAATTTTCTGGTCTTGTCGGCTGAAAGAACATGATCAGCCGAAACAAGTATCGGGCGACACGGAGCAGTCACATTAATTCTTAGAAACACCGATGACTTGGATAAATAACAAAAAAAAAATCTTTTCTTTAGAAATCAGCAATATTTTTTTCATAGATCTATATTCAAATAAGGTGACGTGAGTAATGTTTGCAAGGCAAAGTGGCAGAATTTTATAAGATTGCAACTCAATGTTAAAATGTGTGCAAAATTTTGTATAGAATTGCATAAAAACATCTATGCAGCAAATAATACTTAAGATTTCTTTATATCTTACGGATTAATTATAATTAATGTTATTTCCGTTCAAAAAATATATATCAATCCATGCATCAAAATTTTGTTTGTGTTATGCATCCTTAATAGGTAAAATATTCACAAGTCGACCAACCGTCGCCCGATCATCGAGCTCTGAGCTACAGTTTGATTTTAACCATCGGCCGAAAATTTAAACATCCTTATTGTCAAACGACGGACGACCGACTTAGTAAACTGACTGCCGATAGTCGGACGATGATCGAAGGTTGGTCGACAGATAACTTCAAGTGAAGAAATCGGCAAGCGATGCAGAAAAAATTATAACTTGGACCGATGGACAAAAAATTGGTCGGCAGACAAAAAAAGTGGTCAAAATCGGGCAAGACAACGGCCGATGAACTGCCGACTGTCACCCGAAGAATCCCATTTTTGCTTCAAAACCCGTCGGCCGTTGGTCGTTTTTGGGAATGTGACTGGGGTTTTAATCAGAGGTTCTCTGGTAGTAAATAAATATAATTTACTGCAAATAACTTTATATTGTACATTGTATTGTTCTAATATTTTCTGTATGTACATTGTATTTGTTTACTAAATTAAATGTTTATTTCGGTCTTTTTTGGTGGCCCGCATATTTTATAAAGGCGTTACTTTATGAATCGAAATATATTTCCTAACAAAATTTATATTAACTTATAGAAAAAGACAAATTAATGAATTAAAAACATACCATAGCTAGTCCGTGATATGGCCTACAAGCAAACAAATCATACTAAGAAGATTACATATTAATATAATTTGACGGGTCGGTTTTTTCAAGTAGTATATGAGGTATTAAAATATGTCTTAGTTGAAACTTCAACAAGTACATGTATATGTATTATGAAACCGTAAAAAACACGTTAAAAAGGAAATAATGTTAATTTATTTTTGAAATTAACAAATCTTTAAAAAATTAACAACAATTTAACAAGAATTACTTTTAATGGAATGATAAATATTATGACATAACTTACGTTTGTAATACAACAAAGAAAAAACACCGCAAGGTGAAACATATTTCACCCTTCGTCTTCGCCCGAAATGTGAACTTTTTATCCACATGTTAAACTTCGTGTTAAGTGCTTGTTTATTAATAGTTTAATGAAACATCCGTAACAATTTCTAAAGTATTAAGGGTAACTGGAGATAAAAACCTCCGCTACATGAGAATTTTAGTGGGTGGGCATATCAGTTACGTTAGAAACTGTCTTGTACCATGCTTCACAGTTATTTACATGTACAAAGTCCTCCAGTATTACATCGTAATCATGGAAACAATATTTTGTTAATTTCATCTTTTTCTAGCACATGCGCTTTCGAGAGTCGATGAAAGCGCATTTTTTAAAAACTAAAATATCGTAAACAAAATTACACCCAGTAACATTAAGTCGTCTTGTACAGAAAAAAAACCCCGGTAAAAAGTACAATAACTACCGTCAATAGGACGAAAATCTTAATGTCATGACAGCAAAGAAAAAGTCATGAATGGTTAAAAAAGCGGGAATAAACCTTAATTTCCTTTTCGTCCTTGTGGTCAACCGTTTGAACTATGTGCCGTCTACACTTTATAAGATGCATGATACCATTTTTCCCCTCATTAAGTCGTGTTTATCTGTCAACGTAGATTGCATTTGTATGTTGTTTGACACCTTTGAAAACGATTGTCTCGATAATACATAACTAGCGAACTCATAATTAGCATGTACAACATGATCACGTGACATATAATCTATATGGGAAACATGGCAACTTCCATGTGTAAAAAAAAATAAGCATTGCAAATATGATTTAAGAACGGATCTTTTACAAACCATCAGGTAAGGTTATTAGAATATTGTATTAACAATTCCCAATCATATCCAGATAATTTTTTTTTGCAACATGATAAATGTTTTATACTGATGAAAAAAATGACTTCTATAGTCATTTTCCGCAGGTTTACTAATAATTTCAAAATAAACTTACGAAAAAAATGAAATAATTAAATATATTTTTTAAATTTCTCAAATATTCGTTCGTTATATGATTTATGCATCGGCAATTTTCACACCTTTTAATTTAGCACCACAGGGAATTACATATCAGCATATTCTAATTATCTTTACTTGTTTTAGATTATATATAGATAATTTTCTGTATGATATGACTAAATATACAGCAGCCCGTGTTACTTTAGTAATTTTTTTTATTAATCTTCCGAGTTAAAATTCAGTTTTATAATAAAAGGGTTATCTACTAGTAAGCTAAATGAGAACGCAAATAAAAAATTAATGAAGTCATTTTGATTTCAAGAGAGTTCCGAAGGTCAACATGGCGTGTAAATTCGAAGCGAGAAAATAAGTTGAAATTCCTTTATATACTAAACATACATTTTTGAAATATGAAATATCTCAGTAGTGATCAAAATTGCTTTGACTAAGCAATGAGATTTTTACAGACAAAAAGCACACTAATCCTTTTGTTTGTAATTTTCAAACCCGCGCATCCTCAACCTTTTCTGAACTCATGCACAGATAAGAAAGTTGTCTTAAACAGTTTATTTCAATGCCAAAAAATGTAAGCTAACTTAATTAAGGGTTAACTAAACACCGGTTTTGAAAAAAAAAAATAACCATAGCTTTGAAGTTTATTTTAAATCAAATCCTTTAACGCATAAACGTACAGAAGACCATAGGGGAATATTTCTCATATCCTTATGTGATTCCTTATAATTTATTTTTTTAACGAGATCTTTTAAAGCCTGGTGATTGGAGACAAATATTCTCTTTCATCCCTATATATATTTAAAAGTCCTTTAAAATGCATTTTTCATCGATTTTCGAATTATTTCAGAGATGAAATGGAGGCAATTGGCAGTTTGGTATGGATTCATCTTGACTCTTTGCATCGTGTCAGCACAAAGAAGTAATGATACCTCTTTTTTCCCTTTCTTTCTTTTTCTCTATTTCTCATCCAAGATTCTTTACCTAAAATATTAAATTTTGCAAATAAATGTTCTTAAATTCATCATTTAAGCAGACACCGGTCCAGAGTTTGGATTTGCCCAAGCATTGAATATCGGAGGCAATATTGATCCTGATCCATTTGGGACTGAGTCCACTTTTAATCCACTGCCAATCCTTGACGATCTAGTTAATGTGCCACTAGATTTCTTGGGAGGAACAACAATGAGGCCTCCAGATTTCTCCTTAGAAAGGATATTTGAGAACATCACTCCACCAGATGTTTCTGCCAATGACGGTTTATTTACTGGTATAAATTCTTTCAATGATATTTTGTCACCAGATGGAATGGTCGACTTTCAACTTCCACCAGGAACAAATGGAGATGTCTTCCCTGTAAACAACTCAAACTCTATTCCAGACACTAGTCAAACTAGTGGTGAACCCGTACTTCCAGAGCTCCCTGATTTACAGTCAGTGATGTCTATGCAATCTCCGCCTTCGTCTCAACAAAATTCCCCGTCGCCTTCCACAAACCAACAAGAGATTAATCCTAATTCTTTACCACAGAACTTTCCTCCTGGGCAGCTATCAGTACCGAGTAGACCTAATGCCCCTTCATCTGTTATAAATGACTGGTTATCATTTACTTCAGACCAGACACAACGACCCCAAATAAATGATCAACTAATTAGAGGTGCTACTGATTTACGGTCTACATCATTTACTGGTGATCAAAATTTAGGAGGTAACATAGCAATTAATGACAATCAGATCTCTGGAATCAATAATGTACAGAACGACATGTGGTTAGATAACTCGCTGTTTAACAATCCAAATCTAGGCGATCCGTCCGATGTTTTTGGAAATATGAACATTCCAATCGACTTTCCCATTGAAAGAAATTCTGCACAAAGTGGGATAAGACAGCAACAGAGACCTTCTCTTCCTTTACCTGAAATAAATACAAATCAGAATCGTGCTCTTCAATTGTCAGTTCCAGAAAACCAAATTAACGGACCGTCTGTGAACAGACCATTTTTGCCATCGTTCAATCCTCAAAGCAGGATTCCATCGGGATTCGCGTCAGGTCCTAACTGGAGAGAACCCACTGAACCTACACCACCAGTATTTCAGGTGGGTGGAGGACCACCAGCCCAACAGACTCAGATTAATCCTTCCCGAAGAATCGACCCATTAAATGAACAAATCCTCATAAGAGATGTCTTCCGAGATTCTCCGTCGTCAGCACAAAATAGCAGAATCAGGTCTAGGATTCTAGAAAGGGAAAATGCTATCAGCAGCCAAGCTCGAACACTGCTTTCATCTCCAATGCCCATTACTCGTCCATCTCGCGTCAATATACCAAGTCTTTCGCAGATATTTGCTGGCCGTCAACAATCTCAAATGCCACCAAGAGCTGGTTTAACGGCCTTTCAACAATCTCTTGCTGCTCGAAGATCACCATCACTAAATATATTTCAAGGAACTCCAACAAGGCCAACAGATATGCAGTTGAGACCATTGCCAAGGAATCCTTTTCTTTCATCAGCAACAAGCAACCAGTTTAGACCCACTTTGCAACCTCTTCCCCGTGCAAACAATCAATGGAATTCTGATCGAACGGTTGCACGTGCAGTACCACTTAGAAACCAGGAAGCAGCACGCTTTATAACCGATCAGCGTAATATGAATAGAAACATGCAAGTTTGGACAAGGATTGAAGGTAGAACACAGAACATTGCTGGACAAACACCTTTTCCACGCGGTCAATTAGGGCGTTCAAATTTGGCCTTTAGACCTTCCAACCAGTTTCGTATTAACCAAAGACTGCCCGAATCACTTCTCAGAGGACTTCCTATCCCTAGACAGAGACAAGTCTTACGTTCAACTCCATCGACACCAAATACTTCATCAATCAGTTCTCGGCAACTACCATTCCGACTTCAAGGCGCTTCGCAATCACCTTTCGAAAGAAATCGCTTCCGAAATTCTCCGATCCAACCTTCAATTACGCCAGGATTACAAGCACGACAACAAGGGAGAGAATTCCCGATTGGTACCCAAAGATCAATACAAGGTGGGCCTCCTTTTGATCCTCTTCTCTTCCTTTCTCTTCAAGACTCTTTTCAACCTCCTCTTGACTATGAACTCTTTGATATCTACGAAGACAATCCTCTACTCTTTCTTCAAGATCTTAATATGCCTTTGACAAGCAATTTAATTAATCCGTTATTAGAAATTTCAGGCGGACGACAGCGTGAAAATCAGAGAAGACGACAGTTCCCTAGAGGACAAATTCCGAATCGAATGGTTGTTGATCTGCCGCTTAACCAGCAGACGACTAATAATCCATTCGGAATACGACAAGTGGCTCCACCTGTCTCCCCATTATTAAGGAACGAAAATATTCCCTTTCTGGGTTCAGGGTTCTTTAATCCCAGAATGATGATGCTGGCTGACATAAGAGTGAAACCATCTTCAAAGAAAAGAATAAAACCTGTATCGAAACAGAATGCAACACAAAATCTATTAGAAAAAGTCAATCTACAGGGTTTAAAGAAAGTAGAGTATATTAATACACCCGTGGTGAAAGAAAATAGGGTATTTTGATTTTTATTGCCAAATAGGTAAAAGTGTAATCTTTGTTTATGTAAATGAGGCGTTCAATTGTATATTTGTATTTCTACTTTTTCCATGATTTCAAAGAAAGAAAAGAAGAATGATATGTCAAATGAATTTTTAAAATTATTTATTTGAGTAAAAAGTTATTATTGGGAAAGGAATTTGCTTCTTCATTCTATTGCTCAGAAGCTATTGATCCACATGGTTGTTATTTATTAAACCTTTATCATAAATAAAACTACGTGAATTTGTTTGAAGCATTATACTTTCTTTTATTCCTTTTACATCCAATTTAGAAATTGCCTTTATTTAAAATGATCTGGTCAATTGATTAGGTTTTAATTTGGATTAAGGTGCATCATAAAAGGTTTCAATAGGGACATCGAGAAAAATACCTAAAATGGCCATCAAACTTTTGCTTCATATAATTGCATTTTACATGAAAGGATGTAAGGTTGGACGAAGTCCTTTGCTATGGTTGTTTAGAGTGTTGGAACTATTCTTTTCAATTTGATTATGTGTGGCTGTATCCTATCGCGACTTGTGAATACCACAGCACGCATGCACAGTCACCCTTTTAAGGAAAACAGATCAGAAGTACGCGCCTATAGAGAGATGCAAACATTTCAAAATGAAAGTTTGTCATAGGGATTTGTTTGTAATTTTCCTGGCTTTAATTTTGACACTTAGTGGTAAGTTACATATACTTATGGTTATTGGAGATAAGTTATATTTTAATGCTTCTTGTTTTTAATGGAAACTTTATGAACCATTTTAATTTTACTCCATAAGGAAGTGTCAATAAAAATCTTTTCGCAAGGAATTTTAATGAAAATACGTTTTTTTTTCAAAAAAATTCAAAAACTTCTTCACAAGTTTAATTGAAATGAAAAATGGACTTTCTACAGTTATTTTAAAGCAAATCTGTTATATCACGGTTACAAATGTAATATTTTATGCAAAGATACCAGATTTTCAGATGCAGGGATTTATCCTAAATTTAAAGATAGCAATTAAACGTTTTCAAAATAATAATCCTAAATAAACAAGATTTTCCAGCTTTGTTTTCAGTTACTCTAAGTAGAAATTATTTCCTGTGGCATGGAGTGCCGGAATGGAGAAACAAGCTAGCCCTGAAAGACATCGTATGGCAATCACTGGAGCGTAGTAAGATTTTCTGCTCCTACCGTTGCCTGCAGGACCAGTCATGTGTTTCGTTTTTCTACCAGAGCTCGACAAGGTACTGCCAGGGCCATTCCTCTGTGTTTCTACGCCTGTCTGATGCAAGTAGCCAAGATTCCCCAGATACAATGTATTACAAAAGTAAGTTGTTTTGCTTGTTTTTTTAAATTTGTTAATGGAACTGTGATTGAGGTAGGCACACAAATGACCCACAATTCTATATGAAATCTCACTCCTCATAGCCATTGGTCTGAACCAACATCCGAAGTTTTCAGTGGTTCTTGTTTCATGCCCTGTTCACAGAATTGTACTGTTTGGAGGCTTTTATTTTGGACTGATCACTGCTTGTTATCTTCATCTACTTCATTGATGAAATAACAAGTAGTATTCCTTCCAGATTTTAGTAAATTTGTTTGAATTGTTTGAAAAGCCTTAATCAGCTTGTAAAGTCTTTTCATTGGTAATCAGTGATTAGATTATATTGTAAGCTTTTCTTATAATCTACAAAAACACTGAACAGATTTGATCTTCGTTTATTTATAATACATACAAGTGTTGGAAACAATACATTTCAACAAACTGAATCCTTTCTTATCAATGACTTACTAGTATTCTACAAGCACAGTTAAAATTGTGATAGTTTTAAATGACAGATGCTTGTTTTATTTTAATTCAAAGTGTAACTGGAAGCAACATGAGGGTGCAAAGTGACCATTTTATAAAATGTCCTCAATTCTGATGAAATTTAGTCAAATCTGAGATAAAAAGAGAACACAGCCTTGCCTACTTTTATCTGAGACCTGAGATTTTCATACAAATGGTGTATATCATACTAGTTTGTGACTAAATAGGCAACCTTTTTCTCTGTGTTTTCTGAAACAAATTGCTTGAAAATTAATGAAAAGATGAATACAATTTAAAATTTAGTAAATCTGGAAAATAATCAATTTTTGTGACCTTCCTGTAATCTCTCCATACCCTGTAACTTAAAATCAATACTTGTTTGTTGCAAGGATGATACTGTAGAATCACATTTTCTGAGGGGTTAAATAGTTTGTGGTTTGAAAAAATATAACGGGGTATGGGGAGTTGATTTTGTGGTTGAAGAATTGTTCAGTAATAATACATGTGAAAAATTGTATTTTGTGGAGGACATAAATCCCTGGGTCTCTTCATACCTTGAAAATAATGAAAATTAAACCCCCATGAAAATTAGTGATTTCACAGTAACTTACAGGATTTTAAGTTGAGGTATCACAATGTTAGAGACACCCCAAACCAGGGACCAGAAAGGGGCCTTAGCCTATCTTGTTCTTTTAAGAAATTATAAAATAATGTATTTTAAAAACTTTTTATTAAACATCCATCACCATTCAAAACTCCGACAACATTTTATTATCACAGCACACTCTGAACAAAAAACAAACAATGAGATCAAGTAATATTATGAATACAAAAAATACACAGATCATTAAAATAAGCCAACAAAAATGCCACTAAAAGGCATGGTGGGATTGCAAAGCATATGTCTACAGTATATACATGTATAAGATAAATAAAATGACTTAGCAAATGTTAAGCATTAAATTAAAGCTATTTAATGTATTACATATAAAAATAAAAAAAATTTAATTGCAAATGTAATGAGGAAAAACTTCTCCTTACTGATCTACTCAATCCATAAAATCAGAAGAAAAACAAGGGCACCACAAAGCGAAGCGACCCTTGGCAAAGAGCACATATCTACATATATATAAATCAAGATAGCATTAGATATGGGTCCTGATGCAAATTACATTACAAATGCAATACTGTATCCCCTCCCCTTTGAGGGGAAAATAAGTAAAGCTAAATTACTATAACATTAAACGGTTTGTGATTTGCACATAAGCAAAACCACACACTCACTAAACATGCTAAATGCTTCAGATCGAGATTGACTGGAATGTGAAACATGAATTTGACATACATGTATAAGCGACAGTAATAATTTAAAATGTCATTTCATGTATTTCAAAAAAAGAAAAAAACAGACAGAGACAATGTCTATGCTTCTAAAACAATTAAGTATTAGAAAATAAGATACACAGTGTATGGCACGAGTTTACCAGTATTACACAATGCCCGTGTACTTCTTGTTTGAACATCTTTTACCTCATGGAGTGTCCTTACAAAATACAAACATTACCCTCTGTTTAGAAATAAATCAAAGCTTTGGGATCCTGTTTTCTTCAAGCAAAAAATCAAGAACAAAAAGGAAGCACACACACATAAATCCAGTTCCTTTGAGATTTGAGAATGCTTCAGCTTTGCAATGAACACTTTTAATGCCCTACCCTGGTTATGTCATTTACACATACTTTCATAATATAATCTATGGAAATTGTGTTTGTTTGGAGTTCTCTATAAGCTTCTTGAAAGAAATCTGCATTTGAATATCCATGATCAGAAATAAAACATGGAATGAACTTGGTGTGTGGTTTACCATCTCCTAATCTAATGAGAAAGCTGATATCGGAGGGCACGATTCCAACTTTCTGTGCGACAATACCTAGATAGACATCATCTTCTCTAAAGTGAGGAATATAGGGGATAACTTTTTGAAATGTATTTATAGCAGCTTTGTTAAAGAACACTGTTCCTGAGGGTATGTAAGGAGGAAAACAGTCAAAGGGATAATCTTCCCACGACACATAATGTTTGTTAGTGTAATCACGGGTGGGAAATGGTTTTTCCACTAGATATCCACTATAAAGATATTCCACATTACTGCTGTCAACAGAGCTAAGATATTTCAAACTGTTTTCCATGTTAACAAACATATCATCATCCACAAACAAAACATATTTTGCAGAATTACAGTATTTGGTTATCCAGCTGAATGCCATCTCCATTTTGTAGGTGTTGCTCCAATAATTATCCTGGAAATCTTCTTGAATTATATCCTTGAACACTTGATTTTCATATTCTATTGATGCCTGCTGGACTTCTGAATATCCAAGAATAAAAACCAGGCGTCGGTTTTCTGATTTGGCTTCTTTGCCCCATGTCTGTCTTATGTATAGCCTATTCTTGTAGTTATGAGTTGCAGATTTTACAAGCGTTAGAAGGTAAATGTCCTCGTTCTTTTCACACACCGTATTAGCCACAAATTTATATCGAAAAGGATGAACGTTTAATGGATCAATACTAATGTTGTTCAAGTTTTTGAACTTGTAAGGAGTGTAACCAAAATCAGTTTCACATCCAAAAATGATTTCATTATTTCTCACTGAAAAGCACTTTGTCACAATAAATATCACAAGTCCTACGCATAGAGTTTTGATTTGCCATTTTTTATGACGACAAATTTTTCTGATGAAGATGGATAAGATGGCTCTCCGTACTCTGTAAAGAAAGAACCTCTTCATGTTACTTACAATTTTAGTGTTTGTTAAAGATGTCTGTTAATGGGTTATGGGTATCTAAAGTTCTGCCACTTTAATATTTGCACTTTTATACACCAGAGGTATTATTTTAAATTTTGCACTTGCTATTTATAAGACTCAATTTGAATTGCAAATTAATAATAATAAAAAAAAGATTCTACCGTAATAATTATATTGCCATTTTCTCTTTTTTATGATTTTGACAGAACATTCTGCATACACATTGGACAACTACAAAAATTATCCATTGTAAAGTACCATACTCCATTTCCAGTAGCATGTTATATATTGATAATGTTTTTATCATTGAGTAATACCCTAATGGGGAAAGTGGGTGGATATTTACATGCATATATATTGTGTTAATGCAGTATGCTTTTTTTCTATTTGGTGTGGTTGTCAGCAAGGTTTGATTGCCAGTGGCCAGATAGCTCAGTCAGTAGAGCACCAATATGTAACTGGAAAATTCAGGGGGGCCAGGTCCAATCCTGGTCTGATCTGTTGCATTTTTCTCCTCTCCTGTGCCATGCCCTGGAATCGACAGGTGAGAGGCCTGCCAGGGATGAGCATGGATTAGGGTCTTTGAGGGACCAAAGACCTTTAAGGAGGGAGGAATGTGGCAGACAGTCGGGTTGAACACCAGTGGCCAGATAGCTCAGTTGGTAGAGCACCTGACCGGAGTTTCAGTGGGCCCGGGTTCGAATCTCGGTCTGGTCTGCTGCATTTTCTCCTCTCCCATTACATTTGGTGCCATGCCCTGAAACTGACAGGTGAGAGGCCTGCCAGGGATGAGCATGGATTAGGGTCTTTGAGAGACCAAAGACCCTTAAGCAGGGAAGAATGTGGTGGTCAACCGAGTTTGATTGCTGGTGGCCATATAGCTCAGTTGGTAAAGCACCTGACTGAAGATTCAGGGGGACCAGATTCGAATCCTGGTCCAGTCCACTGTAATTTTCTCCTCTCCCATTACATATGTAATTCATATACAATTAACATAATATTGGACTGGATAGAGAATATGTTACTCATTGAGAATGGTAAATACTTTACAACCCTGGCTACCACTTCATGTGAACCAATGACAAGGAAAAAGTCTTTTCTAAGAGTTTATTTAACATTTGTGAAATTATTAGAGAATACATAGAGGATATTCAATGTTTTGTAGTTGAATATGGAATTTATTTCACGAGTGGGACAGGAGTTTTGATATTTTCACGAGTGCTAAGCACGAGTGAAAATATAAAAAAAATCCTGTCTCACGAGTGAAATAAATTCCATATTCAACTACAAAACGTTGAATTTTCTGTTTATTACATTTTAAAAAAAAGAAATCTTTGATTTTTCCTTTGCCTCTGTCTTTTTGTAATACAGTCATAGGCTCGTGACGTCAGAGTTGGGCGGTTGAGACGTCATAGCTAAGAGAAGTGAAAACACTGTAAATATGGATTTAGCAACATATTTTTGGTAAATTTGACAGTTTTAATTCGCTGTCAGAATGCTTTATTTATTTCCATCTATCTTATATTAGGTCAAGGAAGATTTTTTTAACAGCAATCTTCGTTATGGGAAGGGAATTCGAGAGTTTTCCGGCACTTCTGATATTCGTCACACTGTGACAGGATATCATTTTGATATCCTTTCACACTGTGACAGGATATCATTTTTATTCAATGAATAAATTACAGTATTTCACAGGTAAAAATGTAATAAAAACAATGATCGTATAGTGGTTAAGAGCAAAGAATATGACACTTATCCTAAAGCGGCTCGTGATCGTATAGTGTCTCACGATCCCTCCTAGAACGTTGCTCCGAAGAGCCCTGCTCTGAGAAGTGCGGCCCAGAGGAGAGCGAGAGAATGAGCGCCTGGTAAAATTAGACTGTCATTTTTATAATGTACAATACATAATGCTCATTTACATATGAAACAAACTGATCAGATTCAAGTAAACAAGTTATTCAATAAATTTGGTCAAAATCCTAGAACTTTATAATATAAACATAAGCTGACAGTTCAGTGTCCTGGTATTGTGCAAAATTTAATATTATGTTAAAGTAAGTTTTTGCAATGTTTCGTTACTGTTCCTGTATTGATGTCCGAAGATAGATAAACATCCTGGTTGATTACAGATTAACTGGTTTGTTTACTTTTACGGAAAGGTATTACACTTTCACATCCCGACTGGATTATAGGTCAGTGCACTCGATCATGAGTACATTTTAATAAGCTTATTTTATTTTCTTGATTAAAATAATTGTCTCAAACTCCATAGGTTTACATTCATCTTTTGTGCTTTCTATTTTGAAATAATAGCTTTCTCAAAAAAGTCAAGTTCTCCAAAATTAATTACCGTTTACATATATGTCCAGCCTCCATGCAAGTTGAAGGACCTCCTGGAATTGTTTGTGTAGAGAGACCAACGAACTTCAACATAGTGTATTCTCATCTTTCACATTTGCACTGTTGGGTGTTGAAAATATCATCACTCAATAGCTTCACACTGCTCTAAGATAAAAAAAAAAATTTAGCTATAAACTGAAAATAAACTATTTAACTAGTTATAATAACAACGTTTACTTGTTTACAAGGGATTTCAGTGCATCAACACTGATTTCATCTAATAACGAAAAAAATTATTAATAAGGCAGGTTTACAAAATTCAAAGTTCATCAATGTTATAATGATTATATCTGTACAAATATGCTATTAATTAACATGTTATAGAGATTTTTTGAAACATTTGCCTTACGATTCGTAAGTTACGAACTTGATTTTTTTTACACACACACGCACTTATAAGTACATTTTTAAAAGCCATTAAATCTTGTATCGCAATCCTTACCTCGGGGAAGTAAAAGTAGCATGATACCAGTGTGTACTGTACCGTTAAAAGTATGAATAAACAGTTATTTACCTATCACTATGGGCAGACAACTACAATCAATTAAATACTATTACCCAAGTTTTTCTGGACTGAATTCCGGAAATATCTTCCAAATTGTAAGCAAAAACATAAAATAAAATAAAATAAAATAAAATAAAATAAAATAAAATAAAATAAAATAAAATAAAATAAAATAAAATAAAATAAAATAAATAAATAAATAAATAAATAAATAAATAAATGAATGAATAAATAAATGAATGAATAAATAAATAAACAAATAAATAAACAAATAAATAAATAAATAAATAAATAAAATAAATAAATAAATAAATAAATAAATCAAGCAAGCAAGCTACCAGTCAATCAATATATACATGTATCTACTTTTTAAAGGGATGATCCAGATATCTAGGCATACCGTATAGCTGACGAGATGGTTCCAGTAATTGGTAATGTGTACGCAATTTTTGCAACGATAAAAATCTTCAAATTGGGAAAAAATGCTGATTTTTGCGTGTCATTCTTTTGTTTTTTTTTTGTTTTTGTTTTCCAGTTGCATGTAAAGGGGGGCCTTCCTACATCTATGTCCGTGGCGCCAACACCTGCTACAGCGTGAAAGAGAAAAGAGGATCGTGGTTCACGGCTCAGGCTGATTGCACTTCCGAAAATGCATGGCTTCTGGATTTGAGTAACGATCGAATTTCGTCTCAACTAATGAAAAAGTTCAATGAACATCCCGATCCTTGTATGTAACTTTAATTTATAAAGCAGGTTTTTTTTTTGTTTTAAATAAAATATTTTCCAGGAATTTGCAATTGACGGTATCAATTCCAACTTTTGAAGACCAGAAACGTAAAACAAAAAGTTCGTGCTTACAGCGGAAAATATACACAAATTGTCTTTTATTAATTTCAATCTGAAGTTGAAAATGATTATATGACAATAATCATTTTCAAATTCAGATTGAAAATTAATAAAAGACAATATTTTGATTTACTGAGTATTTTGGAAATTAGTGTTATCTTTAAAAAAAAAAAAACATATTTGAGCTAACTTCACCTATTTAGTGGGTGAGTTTTCTGTCCAAAATTATCCAGAATCAGCTGCTCTTAAGTCTTTACAGAATATGTGAATTTTCACAATTACACGGGACTTCAATTTTAAGCAATCGCAAATTAACTTCAAAACAATACTTAGTTATATAATCTTGACTTAGCTGCAGAACTGTAGCTTTATGGTTTTATATATTAGTCTTTGACCAGTGGCCACTTTCGTCAAAGATTAATATATAAAACCATAACTCTACAGTACAGTTCTACAGCTACTTTTGAATTTGACCTTTATTTGATCTCAAGATACATTGTATAAAGTTGAAGCTTTAAAGTATTTTCTATCATATGAGCAATTTAACTTGAATCTAGTACATTTTATGAAAATTTCACATAATTTTTATATTTTCTTTATGTTGACGTCTCCTTATGAGTGAAAAATTCTTCTCGAGAACTCTTTCACACATTTTAAGTGTAATTTTAACGCAAACAGCGAATTTTACATGTTTAAAATAAGGGAATTCTTAAAAGATTCGCTCTTATAAATCCTAAATTCTCATTGGCTGTCCAAAAATAAAATCTATCAAGGTCAGTAATCATGGCGGATAAATTCAAGTTGTGATGTTGATATAGGCCTACAGGAAAAATAACAGATATATATGGATCGTTATGTAAATTTTTGGTTAGATTTATGTCTTGCATAACTACATTTTTGGAATCCAGTTAAGAAATGTTAATAAAATAGGCATTTAATTTGAGCCGAAATCTGTGCGGGAGCGATTCACTCCTGCATTTGCACCATTACGGAGATCCCCCCCCCCCCCCCCGAAAAAAAAGGAGAGGGCTACATTACTGCAACTATACTATACTATGCCACACTCTTCATGTTTGAAAGAAAAACCCTTTGCAGGTCAAAAGTTCATATAATCATGGTTTACTGGTGATAATCCCAAGTTCTCATTTAGGTTTTGAAATGACAATTCATATTTTAAGTCAATATATAATTAAAAATATTCCTAATGATTTAAGGTCAAATTTATATATTTTATTAAAATGCCTAAATATTTTTCTGGCAATAACTTAGTCCTCTTAGGGATTTTGCAATGAAGGTCAAGGTCATTTTTTTCAATATTTGCATATATTTATCCAATCTTCTACCCTCTTCTTTTTCCTAAAGTGGCACGAAAAAAATTCAAACAGGTTTATTTCAAATAATACTACATGTACATGAAAAGTGTCTTCTTTTATTATTCATTTTCTCTCTATGTAATGAAGACTAAAGTTATTCAATAAAAATTATAAAAGTTATTTTTACATGTGGGATTTTTGACATTTATTGTTGACCTTGACCTTCTGACCTTGTATTTTAGTAGTTGAGCCCAAATTCAACAAGTTTTTTTCTTCATTTTAAATCTCCACTTGTATGGAATTGACTTAATGTATTCAAATCATAATCTAACATAAAAATGCTGACATTGAAACAGATGAACTAAGGAAAATAATAATTATTTAGTTTAGTTTATTTGCATCATAGAATACACACACACACACACACAAAATACATTACAAAAACTATAGTTAACATATATTTTACACCCAAATGCCACACATGATTAGCTTTACTCTAACTTTGCTTTTCATTTTTGAAATCCCATCATCTGAAGCCATGGTCCGGAGTCTGCATATAGCTCTCAGGAGAGGATCATACATTTTGGCCGTGGTTAGCAACGATGCTGAAACCCCTCCCTATTACTCCTCTATTTTCTTCATTGCAGATTTTGCCTACTTTTGGTTCTGGATTGGATTGACCATACAGTCAGACGGACACTTTATTTGGAGTCATTCACAACAACCACTAAATGGGTCAGATTTTTGGTTACCAGGGCAACCAGATAATGCTACTGGGAGCCAGAACTGTGTCTACATGAGGAATCATGATGGCCGATTTCTTTGGGATGATATAGACTGTTCGATGGAATTTATCGAGTTCATTTGTCAGTCTGATGTTGTTTAAATCTCACAAACCAAATCCATGTTTATCTTCCCAGATATGCCAAGTATAACACATATTCACTGAATAAATCAATGGTACTCACTCACAACTCATTAGCTTTATGATATTATGATGTCATGTGTAAAATATTCACTAAATAAATTAAGGCTAATATAATTATAATTCACAACTCCTTTGCTTTACTGCTGTGTATGCATACCTCCATGATTTTATCAATTGTTAAATTTTTGGAATGTGTCTCATTATAAGCGGATTGAAACATTTCTAATGTGGTGTATCCATGATCAGAAATCAAGCAAGGCAAAAATTTGAGATCTGATCTATTATCACCTAGTCCAATGAGAAAGTTAATTTTTGATGGTGTAACTCCGGCTTTTTGAGCAACCATGCCTAGATAGACATCGTCCTCTCGAAAATGGGGAATATGAGGAATGAGTTTTTGAATTTTTTGGATGACAGCCTTGCTGAAAAATACTGTTCCTGATGGTATATATGGTGGGAAACAATCCAGCGGATAGTCCTGTCGGGAAATGTAATGCTTATTAAAGTAATCCCTTGTGGGAAATGGTTCTTCCACCACGAGCCCACTATAAAGATTCTCCACTTTTCTCTCATCCACTGAGTGAAGATATTTTATAGTATTTGGCACATTTAGATACATATCATCATCTACAAACACAGCATATTTAGCATTAGCACAATGTTTTGTTATCCAGTTAAAAGCCATTTCCATTTTGTACGTGTTGCTCCAATATCCGTCCTGAAAATTTTCTTGGACAATGTCATTAAATTGTTGAGACTCAGATTCAACCTGTTTCTGGTCTTCTTCATTGTATCCCAGGATAAAAATGAGTCTCCTATTCTCTGAGTTACTCTCATTTCCCCAAGTCTTTCTGATACAGTTTCTTTTATAAGAGTTTTTAGTGGCAGACTTTACCACAGCTAGAAGATATACCTCCGGAATTGCATCACACAAGGAATCTGGTAAAAGTTTTAACTTAAATGGGTGAATGTTAACGGGACTAATGGTTATATTGTCTAAATTGTCAAACTTGTATTTGGAATATCCATAGTCTTTGCTACATGTGTAGATGTTACTTTTGTATATCATGTGTCCAAAGTAACAAACACTTATAATGCACAATATTGAAAGACTAAGAAATAGGCGATTCAAATTCCTAATGTTTGAGTAGCTATGGATGAGGCTATGAATTCGCATGGCTGGGACAAGCCTGATGGATCTGAAAAAAAAAAAATGGTCAAGTCAATCAGTTCACAATTATTAAATGTTTATGCTTTTGAAAATGTAAGTATCTTTTCTAAAGAAAAGAGAAATTCAAATGGTGTGCAACATGCTGAGACTTATATGTGCAAGAAATACAAGTGTAAATGAAAAAGTATTTGTCATCATGAGCAATATTTTTAAAAAGAGCAAAATAATGCTTTGACTAATTACTACTACATAATACTTTTGGAAAATAGAGTCTTATAAACAGTTGATAAATATTGAAACCAACTCAGATTTACCTGCAAAATCTAATAACACATCTAAGTAACATCATGACTAAGGTTTAAACCTAATGTGAATCCTGGCAAATTAAACCGTTTCTTTTGTTAACCCAGAAAGCAATTCGCGGTAAAAACGAGTGCAGAGTAAGTTATATTGTGCAGTACATGTACACAACAAGGTCGTTTCCTGTCCTGCTCCATCCAAATCGTAATTATGGAGTTCATATAAATATAGATTCAGTTGAAGCCTTATTAATTGTGATCATTTGTAACTAGATATATCTGATATACCTCAAACAAAGCTACACACCTCGCTGAAAACTTTATCACCACATATCATGTACACACACAACCCGGAACCAAGTAAATCGAAAGTACGTGAAACTATTACTCAAAACGTTTCGTCAAAGCATCCGGAATTTTTCAAAAATCTGCTATTTCTTAGGCATTACAGTGATTACTATTTGTTTGCCATGTAAAGTGGGAGAATTTTGTCACGTAAAGCAGAAAACGAAATAAAGTCGTTTATCTACATGTAAGCGCCAAAGACTTTACGTAAAATGTTCCTGTATATAATGCATTTCTATTCGAAATCAGTCAAAAATATTTAATCAAATTCTGTTTGTTTGTGTCATGTATCCTTAAAAATGGATTTGATGCCCCCGTAATCGAAGATTCGAGGGTATATATTTTAGTTTAAAATATATTTTATTCATTAAGAAATGGATTGAACAGCAGGCATAAATGCCTATGATCGTTCTCTCCATAGGTCAAGGTACAATGACAAGTACATGTAAACATTGAAAAAAATGTATGAAGAGTAGATTATCAATTGGTACATATTTAGAACTAATTCAGAGAGAGAGAGAGAGAAATGAGTAGAAAAAAAAAAATGATTTAACAAATAGATAGGAAAAATAATAATTATATAATCAAATATAAACAACAGAAAAGGAAAAAAAATATATATATATATATATATATATATATATATATATATATATATATATATATATATATATATATATATATATATATATATATATATATATATATATATTGTCGTGTCCGTTTGTCTGTTTGTCTCTTTCTGTTTGCCCACAGAAACTTGACTCTTGCCAATAATTCTAAAGTGGATGGGACTATATGGATTTCCTGTTTGACAGGTGTACGTATTCCTTTTGACATGACCTATCTCCGGGTACCACCAAATTTGACCTCTTCAACATGACCTTCGAGAGTTTTACCTAAGTACTTTTACAAAAACAAAAATATCAAACGTTAACCTTGACCACAACTTTTGAATAGGTGTTGCTGGGCTTTCATACTCCATATGGGTATATATATCTATTGTCGCAAGACATTTCAACGGGTATGATATGTTTTGCCTTTTAACATTGACCCTGAAGTTTGACCCGCTTTTTGAAAAACTTTATCTAATTTTGGCCAAACTTTTGAATTGTTAGTACTAGGGTTTTCATATGTCTAGGGTACATGTACATTCCTTGTGACAAGGTCCTCTTTTGATCTCTAGACCTTGACCTTGGACATTGACTGGCATTTGAAAAAAAAAACTTCAACCATCGCTAGTAGATGCCATACAGTGGCATCAGTGTTTCACAAACAGATTTTCTTTTATCTATGTATTTTATTTATTATAGTGAAATATTAATGTTTTGTCTATATAATGTGTTGTTTGACCCATGCAACAGTGAACAGAAGAAGCCAAAAAATTCAGATTGAATAGAAGTAGAAGTCAGTGGTTGTATCCGCAAAATTTTTTTCGCTGTCCTTCCACTCGACAAAAGTATGAAAAATAAGGCATTCCAACTTCCTTATTGAAGACGTATCACTACATAAAACACTCCGGAAATACAGCCATTTTTCTTTAGTTTCAATCCTTACAGGACTAATCACACAAACCGGCGATTCTTTTTTTCTGTACATATAATAGTAGTTCCCGAAAATTAGGAAGAAAAAGTTCTTTTAATCTTAAGAAGGGCGCGAGCTTATATAATAGTAGGCCTACTTTATTTTCAGATAAAGAAGTACTTTGACATCCCGTTGACTAAGGTCCACATTTCCTTTCGTATCATACCAGGAAGTTTATTCTTTGAAACAAAACTCTCAAACAACTAAATGGACTTATTTTAATTACACAGAGTCATTCATTATTCAAGTTTTATTACAATGAAAAAGGAACTTTCGTTTCTCTTAACCATTCTTTTGTGGATTTACCAAGTATCAACAGATAACCATTTTTCAGGTAATAAAAATGAAATTTCATACTAAATGTATGCAAGACATGTATGAAATATATGTATCATTTCATGTACTATTCGAACGGTATATAAAATTGTTTACCCCGGGATAAACGGTTGTAACTGAGATGTAGTACAGAGTTTGCAGGACTATCTTTAAATATAATGTTTGTTAATGTCCTCTCCCGACGTAGTCAGGGTAAAAAAAGTTGGGTCGGTAAGTATAGGTGTGTATTTACAGAAAAAAAATCGTAGTTTTACAAAGATTAAAACGTTTAATTTTAGCCAGTCAGCCGGGAGAGGACAAACAAATGTTTTTGAAAGATGGCCCGGGTTATATCCCAGTCAAAATAAAGTGGTAATTTCGATAGGACTACAAAAGCAATACCCTTGTTCAAAGTAAAATATAAAAGAGATGCTAGTTGATGAATCAAGTGGTTTATTTTGTATTTGTAAATTTAATTCATATCAATTCCGGACATAATTTTGATGACTATTAATATAATGTTGAAACATGCAGTATTAATTGTTTCCTGCAATTGATATAGTGAAATATGAATTAACTTTCAGCATTAATTTTCAGTCGGGACTACGTGTACACAACCATCCAACTTGCGTAATGAAATCGAAATCAATTGTACTGTTTGTGGGTTCAGTGATCTAGATTTCCTGAATTGGCATCTACAAAAAAATCAAAGCATTAGTAGAATTACACCTGGCTGCTACAAAAAGATCTAAGCATTACTAGTCCAGCTAAAATTACACTTCATGATAATTTCTGGAAATTTCTATTATTATTGAGGATAAGGTATATCTTATATTTTTTATCCTCCTGCAACGTATAGATGGAAGGTGTATAGTTAGTCACGCATTTGTTTGTGTATGGGGATATTAGTACGAAAGCCCATTATATATGATCAATCGATAGAGAAAAGGCGTCATTAAGGTATACCTTTACTCAGATGACTAAAAATTCCACTGATAAGAACGAAAAACCACCTATTGTACATCTATAATTCTGATGTTAAATTTCCATTTCAAATTATCAGGTCAATGAGCTACTTTTCCTGCTAGTGGTCCCTGAGTATTTCCCGGGAAATACCTCAATTTTTCACACTTTGACCAATTTTTTCTTCACTCACAAAATATGACAAGTAACAAAACTATTTAAGGTAGTTCTACACTCGGCACTAAATGGGCTCAATCTGAAAAAATCTACTTTTATAAGAT